CCTATTTATAGGTATCATGTTTGCTATTAGTATGTTCGCTCAAGCCCACGATAACAGCGAGACGGACCTGAATTATCCAGACCAGCAAGAGCGAAGCTATTCGTGTATATAAACCCAGATTCTCCGTCTGGTTCTTGAGTGTCAAGGAGGCCATACAGGTCTAAGTTCCTCCCTCGAAAGATTATTGCAATACTGAATACCCCTTCAAGCCCTGGTTACATGCAGAACGATACACGACTAATCCCCGTAAGTTAATCAGAAAAACTAGGCCAAAATATTGTGCGCAGTGTGTGGTTTTCACATCTCTTCGCATATTTTCACCGTGTCGACTGGCTGTGGGTCGCCGTGTTAGGTAGTATGCATCATGTACTGATAAGCCCACATGACCCGGTCAAGGCTGTAACGAAAACTGAAGACCTATCATAACACTCTATGTAAATGACTGAGGAGGCGTAGGCCTTGGGATTACTCCTTGGGCAACCGTGGCGAAGCATCATCAATATGCAGCTTCGGATTTGATAATTGTAATCGCATCTGTGTGAAACCGGCGACTGCGGTTATATTAATGTCCGCGGACTTGTCGTGCTTACCTCGTAACCATCTACGTGAACTCTACATTGATCTAGATCTAAGTGTTGCTCAGTGTTGACTTGATATCGCCAAAATCAACCATCTCCAATTTCATCGCGGCGCCACGTTGTACAGCCACTATGCCACCGTACAGTCTCATCACTTACGATGATATCGTCGATGCTTGCGAGAAACGATCATCGTTGATCAATAACCCACCATTCCTCAGACACGCTAGAGCAAGCGAATTTATTCATTCGGGTCGTATCACAGCAACCCTGGAAGGCACTCTTCCCGGACACACCAATATCAATGAGTTGGTTAAATATGTGAGCAAGAAAGCCAAGCGGGTCTTCTTAACGCTTGTCTTGTCAGGAACTCTCAGGCACATTAACTCTCTGTATCAGAGCGATTTTGGAGACAGACATCTACCAGTGTCCAAGTCGCAACATGACAAGCAACATATGTATTCGCAGAGTGACAAGGTGGAGGCTTTTGAAGGGTGGGAGTCGTGTGAAAAAGACAGATTCGTTGAGAAGCAATGGGTGTTCCTTGCTCCAATTCTGGACGAGAAGACGTTTGAATACGAGATTGAAGAAGAGCAGCCACTTCCCTTACTTTTAGTCACAGATCCTTCATCCGCCAAAGGACATTTTGGCGCCGTGACTAAAGCCCAGATGCCCCCAGTGCGTCAAAAGGGTCGTCGGCGGGCAAGTCGTCTCCAGGTCTCGCATTGGGCACTTATCTGATCTCTATGTATAGGATGCTAAGGACGACTGCATTATCGCTGTTAAAAGTTTGACAACGGGAGTAGTGGAAGAAATTGTATTAGAGAAGCTTTACCAACGTGAACTAACCACCCTAGAGAAAATGCGGCGATCAGATTCGATGCATCTTATCAAGGCTTACGCAGCATTCAAGAAGAAACGTGGCGGACAATACGACAGGTCTTTCATATTTCCAGTGAGTTACCATCAATCCTCCGATCAGCATAGTGATTGGCGACGAAGAACTTATTCAAACAAACTATTTCATAATCTGATTCAGACGGAAAAGCTGACGATCAATCAAGTGGGCCTCCGGAGGCAACCTTGCAAGCTTTTGGGCTAAAGGCCCAGCTGACAAAGAAAAGACTTTTGGATGGGCTCTAGATCAGATACTCGGCCTTGCGGATGGTATCAAGCGACTTCATGACAGTAAGACTCGTCACGGAGACATAAAACCAGAGAATATCCTCGTTTTTACTTCCGATGGCGATGACACGTTGGTGATTGCAGACGTAGGGCTTGCAAAGTCCCATAAACTCTACACCCGAAACCGATTTGAACCTACAACTACGACCCATGGAACACCGCTGTATGAACCACCAGAGACACGCGAGAAAAACCACAAACTCTCGCGCAAGTATGACGTGTGGTCATTTGGGTGTGTCCTACTCCAATTTTTGATTTGGCTCGTGGAAGGCCCAGAGGGCATAAACGAATTCTTGGGGAACTTTGAAGCCGATAGAGCCTTTTTTTGGGAAGCCAACAGGGGATCCACAACTGTACGACCGGTGGTCACAATCAGGGCCAAAGAGCTGTCTCGTTCCATTAAGAGAAAGGTCCCGTCGGATTTTCGGGAACCATTGAAGGACCTTCTACGTCTAGTCCAAAAACGACTTCTAATTGTCGACGTAGACTCCCTGGAAGGTTCTCGTGCGGACTCCAAGGAGATGTTAACGGAGATTCGAAAGATATATAATAAGAGCCTACCAACTTATCAACATTCGCCCGATCAATCTAATCGCCTGCATAGGTCCAATGGCCCCAATGTTGCTGCGCAAGACGTCAGCATATTACCCCTTTCAAGGAGTGTACGTCAAACTAGAGCTGGAACAAGGTACAATCCACCAAGCTGACACGGATGTTCGCAGTACGTGAGTTTTTTTGCATCACATTTTACTAGTAGAGGCTAACCGAAAGTTCAGAACGTTTGTTGAGACTATGCTTTGTTTGATTTTGATTGATAAATACTAACGGTTCCCAGCGGGTAATTTAGCACCATTATTATGTCATACCAAAAACTGATTATAATAGGGAACAAGCCAGATTCGAGACTTATGGGAAGACATAACCGACAATGAAATCGCAAGCAGTATTATTTTGAGTCTTCGTCAAGCTTTCCCATCATCATTGACAACATACGACCCCCCAATATGCGACGAATGTAAAATTCTCGATTTGAGCTCGAACGTCGTCCATATAAGCCACAACGTGGTTGCCGGCCAGAATGAACATGAAGAATGTGTACTATGCAAGCTAATAAACCAGGTTATCTCGAGAGCGGGCGTGGTGCCACGGAAGAACTTAGAACTCTTCCGAACGAAATCGACACTGAGCACTTCACCTGGCGGACCGCCGCTTCTCTCTATTTACTCAGACCCTGGTTCGGCTTTTATAATCCTACAGTTAATTTTTATCATGACGGTAGCTAATGGGGTGGCCAGGTTCAAAGGTCGATACTTCGTCATACGCGCAGATTGGGCTGCCATGGCTACCTGAAGCTGCAAGCTCACAGGAATTCCACATATTGCGTGAATGGATCCGTCTATGCGATGAAACTCACGTGTGTATGCGGGCCCAAAAATTCGAAACCCGTGCATCAAAGCTTCCAACCAGGGTCATATACGTTGGTAAAGCGGGTGATCCTTCATTACGTCTAGTACAGCCCTCTCCTGATCTAACCGATAAATACGTGGCACTTAGTCACTGTTGGGGGAGGGTTAATAGAGACTCTGATTCTCATCTCAAAAATGGGAATATCAAGGAATTTATGAACGCAATCAGCTTTAAAAAGCTCCCAAAAACGTTCAGGGATGCTATCAAAGTTACCAGAGCCCTCGGTATCTGCTATCTTTGGATTGACTCCCTGTGTATAATACAGGACGATGAGTATGACTGGGAGGTTGAATCAGGCAACATGGAAAATATGTATAGCTCGGCATACATTACTATTGCTGCGAGCTCCGCGGAGTCATCCTTAATGGGTTTTATTCATGAGAGACCAGCCAGAGCTTATGCTAAACTTATCACAGCAGACTCGCCGCTATACATAGCGGAGGCTATCGATGACTTTCAGGCAGACGTTGAAGGTGGAGTTTTAAACACGAGGGCATGGGTACTACAAGAGAGAGCTTTGTCTCGCAGAACAGTTCACTTCACCTCATCCCAGATTTACTGGGAGTGCGGCAAAGGCATTCACTGTGAAACTTTAGCTCAGCTGCGCAAGTAAGTTGGACTTCGTAATAAAGTCTATACTGTCAGCTACTAACCATATCTCTCATGCCGATAGTCCAGTATCCCAGTTCTTGGGAGATCACGACTTCCCAAACCTGGGATTACAATACTTCAAAGACGAACGTATTCAATTGATACAATATCTGTACATGCGATACAGCGAATTGAATCTTACCAACGACACCGACCGTCCAGCGGCGATTTCTGGATTGCAAAAGCGTTTGGGCCGCACCTTCAAGTCTGGAGCCGATTACGGAATTATCTGGAAATAGTTCGAAAGAACGGTATTCTGGCGTGCGCGTGTCGAGCGCAGCTTGCTTAGGATCAAATACAAAAAGAGTCAGGAATCGCCGCCTTCCTGGTCCTGGATGGCCTACTCAGGGACCATCAGCTATCTCGAGATCCCCTTTGGGAAGGTTGACTGGACCGGTGATCTCTGGAAACCCTCCCCGACCGAAGAACCAGGTTCGCAATACGGCATGGCTCTTCGAGCTTCTGCTAGAAGGATTATTGTGCAGGGATCAAACTTGCCTGCTAGCGTCAAGCTCGATATGGATATTCGCACTGACTTCGAGGGGAGTCAATGGAGGTGTGTCACGGTAGGGAAGGACAAAACGGCAGATATACTAGGCGACATAACATATTATGTCCTTTTAATACGGCCAATCCTTGCTGACAAGTTGCGGGACTTTTATGAGAGAATTGGCGTCGGTACCCTTTATGAGCGTGAATTTTCCATGGAGGTTGAGCAGGTATGGCTTCTTTGATATCGCAGATAGGGACGTTCATAATTGATAGGGTTTTATACAATATTTCGATTCCTATTTCGATTCCTAAACTTACTCCTTTCTTCATTCGGAGGGTTTCTGTCTTAGATGCGAAAGTACAATGTCAAAGTTGGAATCGGAATCGGAGTGCTGTTGGATAGGTATTATGCAACCGCCCGAGGAAAGATAGGGGGAAGAGAGAGTAGATTAAAAACGCGACGACGGAGACGTAAATCTTCAAATTGTAGAGGCAACAACATAGCATACATAGGCTTCACTCAAACTGTTTTGGGTTATACTAACGCATGTGTGCAGACCATATCCTAGACTATATGTGAATTTACTCCAAGCTCACATATCAACACAGCTCCCAACGATCAATTGCGGCTTCGTGGCCTAATGGCTAGGGCGCTAGATTTCGGTATTCCTGATCCTCTAGAGATTGTCGGTTCGAGTCCGGCCGAAGTCGAAATATTCTTTTGCATTTATTATTGTGTGATGGTTGTGGTGTTTTTTTACCCTCCTTTTTGCATCTACCGGCTATTCGGTACTTTTTTTAACGGGTGGTCGAAGGTAATTTGTCCCTGACACGTGAGAATCAGAACTGACTCTCAGAGTACCTAAAGTATTAATACAAAACGGATAACGGCGGTTGGTGGGGGAAGCGGGAAGTGACCCCGATCTCGGTCGCACCGGCAAAAACACTCCCCCCACCAATAGTTAACGAGAGTCGCGTTGTGCGACTCATCCAGCCTTTTCATTGCCATGACCAATTGCGGCTCCCTGGTGGCATAACAGCCGTTCTCCTGAAAGCAGCAGTCACAGGAGTGCTCGGCACGGGCAGTTTCGACTCCATTGCACCAAAGATGTCCGCTTCCATTCCCGGCAACCGGGAGCTGCCCGAGTCGCAGTACGACCTGAGCACGTACTGGGGTCGCGTGCGCCATACTGCCAGCATCACCGACCCGAGGACCCTTATCGCTGGGAAGAGCGGCCTCGACAATGCGAAGAAGCTGGTCATGGCATATAAGCAGGGTCATATCAAGGAGATGACACCAGAGCTGTGGAAGGCCAAGAAGATTCTCGACTCGACCATACATCCTGGTACGGCGACCAACTCACGACTCTTTCTCTACGGTCTAATGCGCCTAGAGATCTTGAACTTGGCTAATTGGATGCAAATGTGATTAGATACTGGCGAGCCAGTCTTGCTGCCTTTTAGAATGTCATGCTTCGCCCTCTCGAACCTGGTTGTCACTGCTGGAATGCTTACGCCAGGCCTATCGGTATGCGCTCCCCAGACGCCCAATTTGCGAATCACTGCAGAAGCTAACCCCTTCGCGCCGCGCAGAACACCGGTACCATCCTCTGGCAGATTGGAAACCAGTCCCTTAACGTCGCCATCAACAACGCGAACGCAAACAAATCCACACCGCTATCATACTCCAAGCTCGCGCAATCCTACCTCATGGCCGTGGGCGCCTCGTGCTCCGTGGCCGTAGGCCTGAACTCGCTCGTGCCCCGTCTCAAGCGCGTATCGCCCCAGACGAAGCTGATCCTCGGCCGTCTCGTGCCCTTCGCCGCCGTCGCATCAGCGGGTTTCCTCAACGTGTTCCTCATGCGCGGCGAGGAGATGCGCGTCGGCATCGACGTGTACCCCGTGCTGTCGGCGGCCGACAAAGAAAAGCTAGCAGCGGAAGGCCGGGCGGAGGGCGACGTCGCATCGCTGGGCAAGAGCCGCAAGGCGGCGACCCTGGCCGTCGGCGAGACGGCGCTCAGCCGTGTCCTCAACAGCAGCCCCATCATGGTGGTCCCGCCCCTGATCCTCGTCCGGCTCCAGCGCACCCAGTGGCTGCGCAACAACCCGCGGCTGACGTTGCCCGTGAACCTGGGGCTTATCCTCGGCATGAGCTACATCGCGCTGCCGCTCGCTCTCGCCGCGTTCCCGCAGCGCCAGCGCATCAGCGCCGAGAGCCTCGAGGAGGAGTTCCACGGTCGTGGCGGCGAGGGCGGCATGGTCGTGTTTAATCGTGGAATCTGATACCCCCTGACAATCAAGACTTACACATTTAGAAAGCGAAGAAAAGCGTTTTGCTAATCGGAAATATTGAGATGAAAAGAGGCTAGAAATAGAGTAAGACAACCAACCCGCTGGATTGGTATACGCTACACGCAAGACGGGACGGCGCGCGGGACCACACGCATACATCCTCGCCTCCGAGCCGACCCAGGGATAGGCTAAGACAAACTTGGGATTATTTCGTTTTACAAGGAAAGGTCTGATACCCACATTGGAATAAGAAAACGAATGCGTAGTATGAAGAAACGAGAAACGATGGCTAGAATATATTCATCATCCAACTCGTCCATCGATCAATTCTTTAAACACTTCATAACTAGATTACAGTGCCAGTCCGTCTAATCTTTATGAACAAATATAAGCTACACATATGATCACTTTCTTTCTGCAAACGGCAAGATAATTATCGGGATGTTAAGAGCTAGCTATCTGTGTATATTCGCTACCACCTCTTGGCGTAAACACACCAGTTTACGGATAGTCGTGAATGGCGAGTAGTCGCATCAGAGATGCCCCATTCCCTTCAATGTCACCTGAAGGGCACGAAGGGCAGAGGTCAAAGGAAAGGGCAGTTGGATGATATATTGTTTACATCGTTCTAGTTCTATCTATGGTAGGCTGAACGACCCCAACTCAGTTGCTTACATGTTACTTCAGTTTCCTTACGCTATTTTCCGATATTTATTTGGAGACGTACAAGTATTACTCAATCTGATGATCATTGCGTCGGCGGGGTAACTACCTACAGTAGGTAGATTTGCACAAGTACTACCGTCAATGCGGGCTATTCCGTTCCCGCTTCTTGGAGTAAGCATAAATGTACAAATGTATATCTCGCCTACTTGCTGCAATGAAGTGCCAAGTAAAATACCTACCTATGTAGAGAAAAATATATGGGATTCCTAGCATAGGAAGCCGACGGGGTTCGTTTCGGCCAGGCAATATACATACACTACACAGATGATATGCAGATAATCATGGCGCTAGCTGGGGAACGCGAATGCTGCGGGTGCATCGTACTGCATGGTCTTATGTAGCTAGTTGTTCGGCCGTGTAAGATGTGTACCTCAGGTAGGTAGGTAGCACGCGGGGTATTTAGAGGTATGTATGTAGTGCACGTTCACTCATCATCAGATATATAGAAGATACGTTGCTTGTGTCTCACCTCGTCCACTCACTTACGTCTCTTGTCGTTGTTTGCGTTGTGTTGCACGCATCTTTTGTTGGGAAAAGAACTCTCGGGCTCTTTGCTTGGAAACCCAAATGCCGAAATTTTGTTCTCAACAGTAAGATATAGTGTCGTATACGCGTCTCCGGTTGTAGGAGTCAAGGTCGATGGCGGGTTTGCTTTTATCTATCTACCTTCAATGCGCTGTGCGCAATGTGTTCCTCAAGAAGCGTGGCGTGCCGTGACGTGGAATGTGATAAGTTCCTATGTGGCTTGCTAGCTGGCTGGCTCTCAGCTCAGCCTATGTATGCACCACTTGAGCTCTCTGGACTGTGTTCGTCAGAGTCGTACGTAACGTACATTTTACATAAGCCACGACTCTGCGTGGGCTAGATTTATCCAGCCGAAGGCCGATTCAACGTCGCGGCCCTAAGATCCGAGGCGCGCCGAACAGTGGTGGTAATCTGTTTATCGTGAAAAAAGGTACAGGAGAGAGCACGCCGTCTTATCATGCTTATTATAAAGGCCAGGCAGGTAACTCGGTAACGCTAAGATCGACGGGTGGGTGGTCATCTCGTCTCATAGTGTAGCGTATAATGGGGCAATGGCGAAGCAGTGACTTCATTGTCATGTATTAGTGCACATCACATACCTACGATAAATACCTGGGCAGTGTAAGTAAGCCAGGGCCATGGCCAGGGCAAGTGGGCAGGGCAACGCAACATAATGCAGCACCCGAGCCAAGAATTGGGTCTAACCGAGTGATGCCAGCGAATGGATTGCGCATTCATTCTGGGACCGGTTTGGATGGACGAGAAATCCTACCCTCCATCAAGAAGCGGCCTTACTGGAACGGACGTGGAGCTGTTCGCCACTGGAAATGTATAGCCAGACAGGCACAGTTTTGGAACTGGCCTGATACTTACAGGAGGGTACTGCTGGTGCTAGCAATACCTACCTACGAGACCGGCAGACTCGGAAACCTTGGCTGACTGCCTACTCTGGTCCTGCTCTGGTAATTCACGCCTTGACCATTTCGTTGTGAATTTGGAGGTGTCAGAAAATCCATCCAAGCCCAACAAATTGATTATTATCGAAATCCTCTATAAACGACTAAGAAGCTGGAGTCCCGTATACGATAAGGCCACATCATCTATGCATTCTCATAGCCGGCGATGGGAAATGATGTCGCGCCACCAAAGTCGAAGAGCAAACCAGCAGCGGGCAAAATTGCCTGTTATGCACGTGCGAAACAGAACGGGTACGTAGGTATGTACCTACTGTAGGTATTTAGGTAGGTAGATTTCAGGGTCTCGTCGCTTCATCAGGGTACGGTTCGGCCAGCTGGAGGGTGGGCTGGCTACATATGTATACCTACATCACCAGATGAGGGGTCGTCCCTTTCGAACATCGAACCCGGCAAGCAACCGTACGCCACGGGATGCATGACAGGGATTCCTTTGGCAGTGTTTCTGGAAAAGCATTGGAAAATACCACACCCGCAGACCAAGGCAAACCGTATAGCATGTCGGTTCTACAGGATTGCCTCGGAACAGTATTATGTATCAAGTGGATGAACATCGCTACATGTGCCAGCATGCTATAAGTAAATGAAGTATGACGAACCGGCTGGTTAGAGACAAAAGTTCCCCTGCTGGTTATTTATAATGCGTGAGCCATGGACGGACTTAACGGAGAGGTGGAGAAGGCGGGTGGATTAAAAGTGATTTAAGTACCTACTTGTGGCACAGGCACAATAATTAACATGGAGAATCATACCTAAGGTAAGTATCTAGTGTATCGAAATTACACTATAATAAGACGACGGATGGCTCATTGAATACAGCAATAGAGGTTTGTCTTGCCTCTCTTCTCTTGGGTATAGTTAATGAAAGCAACAGGTCGTCTGGCGAGAGAGTTGGTTGATGGTCATGCGAGAAACTCGCTAGTACCACATCCGGGACAAACAGGAACTTTGGGAAGTGAGATACGACTGTGTATCCTGGACATTTAAAACACTGTAAAACTTGCGGGTGTGTATTGCAGTTTCGGACTGTGTGCTTGCACGTTTGAGCGCTACAGCTATACAGTCCAAAGACAGTATTACTTGATTCTTAATACTGTCTGGATCACAGTATTTCTTCATCTTGAGGATTAATCAAGTACCAACCTGTGACTTGAAACTGTTAATTCACTTCACAACTTCAGAGAGCCACTGGGA